AGCGCTCGGCCGTACCTGACCATGTTCGATTAGCCATCACAACGTCGTCCTCATTGATCATTGTTGTAGAGACTTCTACGAATTCCTCGAAATCAAACCCCAATCTTGTCAACGACACAATATTCGGAGCAAACTGCCACAGTGATCAACACATTAGAACACAAAAATGTCACTTATTATTTTTAATTCATAGCGTGTTAAAGTTAATCCTTTATTGTAGTACAACCCTTAAAAGTTTTGAATTTCAAAATATAGCAAATGATAATCATGTTTCGCGTGAACTATCAAATTGCAACAAAACGAGAGCAGCAGGAGCACCTGAGGGTTTAAAAGCATCGTCGGGGTTGTAGTCATCATGATCTGCGTGAAAAACAAATTGTTAACTATAAGGACAACATACACAGTTGCCTGTTCTCTCATCTATCACACATACGAGGCCCTAAAACAGAAATACGTTCTCATACCTTGGACTATAATAAAGCACTTCGCTTTCACAAGTAAACATAGGTCTTCATACGAAGTATCTGACACATACTCTTACTTGAACTTGCGAGATCCACATTAAAAACGTGAACCAGGACAGCGCCTGCCAGGACAAAGCCTAATACATGTTCAGAAAACATTACCGTGCACACAGCATACGACTTCCGCGCACACAGTGTGACTCCCACGCATACAGAGTACACGACTTCCGAGGCATCGCCATGTACAGCATACGCGCGCTCCGGGATGGCGCCTGCGTATACGCGCATACGCATCTGCCGAAACCAGGCCATGTTACAGCTGGACCTGGCAGTCCGTTACGACCAGCAAGGCACACACTCAAGCACTTGTAATCACATCACACGTGCTACTGTAACACATAAAAGAAAACATTAAAAATACTCAGTCGGAACTTGATTTCAAGAAATGCAGCACTACTCTTGGTACACGATTCGCCTTTCTAGGGCACCAAATACTGAGCTGCGGCTACACGACAACCTCTGGTATGGTCCGATCCTCATGTAAACTTAAATACTCTCTTCAATGTCAGAACTAATTGGCTCTACTTCACTTTCATCAGTTATACTTCGGTTTTCCGGCACTTTTCGCAACCAATTAAAAATGTAAACACTCATTCTTACAAAATAGTTTCTGAGCCAATGTTTAGGATAAATTTACTTTCCTCATGTATCTAATGGTGATCAGTAGCAGCGACAAATAATAAGTCCGCGGCGTCATAAGCCGACAGCATACTTAAAAGCGAGCGCTACAGCTCCACGCTTTCCACTAAACCATTCCAAGTTTGTCGACTACGTAATGCTCGGAGTAAACTGTAACACTTATCATCACATTAGATCACAAAAATACTACTTAGTGTTTTTAAGTCATAGCACGTTAAAGTAATCATGTTCTTTTTTTCGGTACATAGTTTAAACATTTTGAACCTTAAAACTAGGCCATGTAAATCACACCTCGTGTATCAAATTATAACATTACTTGAGCAAGTTAAACTTCCACTGAATGCAAACTATAACTCATTCAGAATATCTCCAACATTTCTTTCGACATTTGTTATCATATTTGGGTACGTTAAGAAATAATGAAATTACTTGCGGGTACTTTCTATTATAAATTGAATAAAAAGATTTAACTTTTGACTTAAAACATTTCACTTTAAACTTTTACTCTACACTTTAATGATTCGTCAATGTCGTAAATACGACAACAAACTTGATTTAAGAAATTGAACACAAAAACAAAACGCGAGGCGCATTATAGTATTTCACCAACGTAATAACCCTTACACTATTCAAAGGTTATAGCAGGTGGGCAGTAACAGGGACTTTATCCCACTTCTGATGTAGAAAGGGTAATTGTGTATAGTACAGAGACTAATTTTGTAGTTAGGAATAATAATTAATTCGTTTACTCGAATTAACTATCCAACGAGTTAAGGATAAACTAGTAACGGAATACGACAAGCGTACCGTTCCACGTCAGAGCCAAGACTGTCCTAACGGCGGCCGCTCCGTCCGTTTTATACAAGCAGGACGGGTGGCAACGCAGGTGCAATGCCGCAGGTGTGCGGTACACGTGTCGTTTACAAGAATTCTGTCTAGCTAGACCGACGCCACCGCACCTACAACGGTGCAGGTGCCGTCATATATATATATATATATATATATTGATATATATGTGTTGTATGTATATTTATGTATATATGTTTATATATATGTGTATATATATATATGTATATATGTGTATGTATGTATGTATATGTGTATGTATATGTATATATTATATGTGTTACCTTATATTTTATTATGTGTTAGTAATTTATATTATTTCATGTATTACTTAGTTATTTATATCTTTTTTTTTGCATTTATTATTTGTATATTTATATTGCACCACCTACCACCTACCTATTCATTGTTTGTATTACTTTACTCCTTTGGTTGCCTGGAAGAGATCGCTATGTAGCGATACGGCCGCCAAATTGTACATATTATAATCAGATTTTGTTATGACATTTGTATATTTGTTCGTGGTGTACAATAAAAGTATATTCATTCATTCATTCATTCATAATTCGCTACGTGATTACAAAAGCATTAGAATTAGAAACAAAATATATGATAATATTGCAGAATATAAAAAGACTTCGCCACGGTTAGTCATGTTCCTAACGTCCAATCGTAGTACAGACAACTCAGCGAATGGCGCTTCAGACCGCCGCTGCGACCGCGGTGGTACGTTGTTGCAGCGGCTGGAGTCCCGGCTCGCGGTTAGCCGCCACCGCAAGCCGCTTCTGTGTGGGAGACGCTTAATCATTTGTTTACTCTGCCTGTTAGGGAATTTAGAATATTCCATAACTTTCTTGGGTTATTTTTGTTATTATTTATTTCATTATAATAGTATTTGTTTCGTGATATTTCAATAAGTTTATTTGTTTTATTCCTAATTTTATTAAACTCTAGTCTTAATATTTTATTGCTTGTATATTTTTTCCACTTTTTGTATAGCAAGTCTCTTTTTTCGCAAAAAATGTTTATCTTATTATTTATCCATCCTTCCTTATTTCTTTTGCTATTAAGGCTATTTTTTATAGTATATTTAGAATTATTGTAACAATTTTCAAAGCTACTCTGTATAAAGCTATATATCTCTATCGGATACTGCATTTATCAATTTTATTCCACTCAACGTTTTCAAGAAGTGATATTAAATTTTTGCTATTAATTAATTGTTTGAGTTTTGAATCATTTTGTACGCTGCGGTTAGCCTCAGTCCCGGCACACGATAGCACGCACATGCGGTGATCTGCCATTACTGTTCCAAGTGCAGCCGCGTAGATGACTGACGTGCGCGATCTCGCGAATATATGGTCATTACAACTCCGCGTGATTTTTTCATTTCGAATCTCTATTCTTGTAAAATCCGATATCGCTCTCGTCAGACCACACTCGGCCAAGCAGCTTAAATAGCAATCACGTATGTTATTTTTCGATTTTAGGTCAATATTTATGTCTCCGATTAGGTACAAGTCACAGTGTTTGATTAAATTGTTACGTAGTAGTATTTTAAGTTCATTAATAAAAAGGTGCTTGCTATCATTAGGTGGTCGATATAATGCGCAAATGTGAGTCGTGTATTGGTGGCAAGATTGGATATGTTACGAGCTTAGGGTTCGTGACAATTAAAAACTGCTGATTGAATTAACAAAATTGACACTTTAATGACGGATACTAATTAAACCTTAAACACACTAATAATAAAACACAATAATTCTACTGATCACTTAAGTTCGCAGTTGTTTCGCTTCGAAGTATTCTCTTATATCGCCAATTCAATACTGACCCGGTCGTGGTCTATACCGGCCTTATACAGGGCCTCAGATAGTTTTCAGAACCTTCTACTGTAGCGACATCTAGAATGTTCGAGTACATATCGGTCCCGAAATTTCTGGAAGGATCTCGACTCTCCTAGTTCTGCTACTCGACACTAGAGGGCGCTAGTGTAACTAGTGTTGCCATGTACAAGATATTAATAGTGGCGCGCAACACTTTATTTTACTCGACATTAGAGGGCGCTAGTGTAACTAGTGTTGCCATGTACAAGACGTTAATAGTGGCGCGCAACACTGCCCCCTCCTAAGACATGCTCGTCCCGAGCATTATTGAACCCATAATAACGCGCCAGTCGATTCACATGGACAATCTTAGGAGTACCTCTGGCACCTTTCTGTATCCGGTAGGTTACGTTATTGATCCTTGTCACAATCCGGTACGGTCCGTTCCATTTAGCTTGAAGCTTAGGAGATTTCCCTTTGCTGCGAACTGAATTGTGTAACCACACTAGTGAACCTTCATCAAACCCCTTGTTGTTCATTTTGCGGTCATACCGTGTTTTCATCTTCTCAGACGTTTGCTGGCCCGTCTGTCTGACGTGCTCATAATGTCATTCATTTTGTTCCGCAAGTCATTTGCATAATCGGTTATACTGCGTGGGGCATTAGGTGGTATTCCGGTGATCAGGTCTGCAGGCAGCCGCAATTCTCTCCCAACGTTTGCGAAAGCTGGTGTCACTGATGTACTTTCGTGAACAGCACTTCGATATGACAACAAAAACGGTTGTATGTGCCTGTTCCAGTCTCGTTGCCGTTTTTCACAACTTTTGCAAGGTACCTCTCCTATGTCTGATTAAATCTTTCTACCATTCCATCAGATTGTGGGTGGTAAGAAGTTGTTCGTGTTTTCTGAGTACCCATAACTCGGCAAGTTTCCTGGAATATTTGAGACTCAAAATTCCTTCCTTGATCGCTGTGAATCTCTAAAGGTACTCCAAAACGACAGAAGACTTCATGAACTAGTTTATCTGCAATTGTTGAAGCTTCTTGATTTGGAATGGCGAAGACTTCTTGGCCACTTAGTGAAGTAATCCATCACAACCATGAAATACTTGTTACCACTTTCAGTTTCTGGAAACGGCTCCGCAACGTCAATGGCTATCCTCTCTCATGGTGCACCAACATTGTACAATTTTAATGCGCCTCTACTACGAATTTGAGGTCCCTTTACAGCCGCACAACTTGTACATTTGCGGCACCAGTCCTCGACATCGTCACGACAGTGGACCCAGTAAAACCGTTCTCGGATCTTCAGGAGAGTTCGTTTAACTCCCAGGTGGCCTCCTGAACAACCACTATGGTACAGCTGTAGAACATCCGGTACTTTAGCCTTAGGGACAACCATTTGCAAATGACACCTGTCTCCCCGACCATTTTCCCATTTACGGCACAGAACTCCATCCTGAATCAGCAAGCTGTCCCATTGGGTCCAATAGCTTTTCGTGGTCGAACTCATTGCTGAGACGTCGCTCCACTTTCCACTTGGGCTTAGGAGCACTGGCCTTCATCCATAATCCATTCCAGAATCGGCTTTATGTCCGAATCTTCCTGCTGTGCATGTTGTAGGCAGTCCTTCCATTCATTGCTGAGCTGGTCTGTCCTGAATATCCTCGCAGATACCACTTCTTTACCCTCTTGCCTAGTACAATACTTGCAATCTTCAGGGCAAGGTCTTCTTGATAATGCATCTGCATTGCCATGAGATTTCCCGCTGCGATGTTCGATCACAAAGTCGTATTCCTGTAGTAGTTCAATCCATCTCGCAACTTGTCCTTCCGGATTTTAGAACTGCAATAGCCATTTCAGTGCAGCATGGTCAGTTCGTAAGTAGAATTTCCGCCCCAGGAGATATTTGCTAAAATGCTGCAAGGACTTTACCACAGCAAGCAATTCCCATCTTGTGACACAATAATTCCTTTCCGGCTTTGACAACGACTTGCTGAAGTACGCTATCACAATCTCTTGATCACCATTCCGTTGAGACAACACACCGCCAAGTCCTATATCACTTGCGTCTGTGTCAACTATGAATTCCTTGCCCGCATCAGGGTACCCCAAAATAGGTGTTTTGCACAGACGGTTCTTGAGCTCCTGGAATGCAATATCGCAACTTTCATCCCAGCAGAAATGTCGCTTCTCCTCGGTTAGCCTGTGCAGAGGTTTGGCTATATCTGCAAAGTTCTTCACAAATTGCCGATAATAAGAGCACAAACCCAAAAATGCTCTAACCTGTGTCTTGTCTTTTGGAACCGGCCAATCCTTGACAGCGGCAATTTTCTCTGGATCCGTGTGGATACCTTCTTCCGACACTACATACCCCAAAAAGCTAACTTGCCGTTTGAATAGTGAGTACTTCTTCGGACTCAACTTGAGGTTGATTCTGGATCTTCATGAGCACGCGTTCCAGGTTTTGAAGGTGTTCCTCAAACGTACGGCCTACGATGATGATGTCATCCAAGTAGACCAGACAGGAATCTCCAATTAGCCCGGTAAGTACAAGCTCCATCAACCTTACAAACGTTGCTGGAGCATTGCACAATCCAAACGGCATGTTTTTAAATTGCCACAGACCCTTTCCTGTGGAGAATGCAGTTTTCTCCTTGTCCTTAGGGTCAATTTCAACCTGCCAGTAGCCACTTTTCAGGTCCAGCGTACTAAACCACTTTACGCCTGTAAGCATGTCCGGCGTGTCATCAATTCTTGGCAAGGGATAGCTGTCATTCTTCGTAACGTCGTTCAGACGGCGGTAGTCAACACAAAACCGCATGCTGCCGTCCTTTTTCTTTACCAGCACCACAGGTGAACACCATGGACTAGATGAAGGTTCAATAACACCATCCTTCACCATTCCCTCAATCATGATTTCCACTTCCTTTTCACGTGCTACAGGCAATCTTCTTGGCCGCTGACGAATAGGCAATTCTTGTCCTGTGTTTATTTTGTGTTGAACTAAGCCAGTCTTTCCTATGTCAGCTTCGTTTGACAAGAAAACATTGGCGTACTGGAGTAACAACTTCTTCGCAACTATTTCATTCGGGGAGAGAACGCTGCGACAGTCTTCTAAAAGTGTGGTCACTCTAGTTTGTCCATCCTTGCTGGGGGTCCCAGTCGATAGATATTGGCACTGACGCAACCAATCCACTTCGTCACTAGTACCAACCAATGTGCCTTTTTCTATAATCTGTTCCTGATCACAAAGGTTCAGCGCTCGTACTCCAGAGATGTCAGCGGTTCTGACCAAGGTTCGAGCCAATTTCCATGGAAGGTCATTGTCTACCCTTTCTACGAGTACACAACGAAGAGTTTGCCCAGGATTCCGTGGAAGTCTAACCGGCACAATCTTTTCCGATCTCGGCGGAAGAACAATCTTCTTAAGGCTGTACACATTCCCTGGTAACGCCCCTTCCACGAAGAGTTCCTCTTGTCCACATTTCAAAACACCTTGCTTAACGTCGATCTCACAACAATTCTTCCTCATAAAGTCTAGGCCCAGGATGCAGTCGTCCATTATATCAGCCACGATGACATTATGCAGGTAGATCATGTTGCCTAGCTTCAACTCCATCTCCTTCTCTCCACGGACGGGTATGCGCTGACCAGTGGCTGTCACCAAATTAATGCGTTCTCGGTTGTATGCGGAGTCCCCAAGGAACCGACTTATAAGTTGGGAACTGACAACAGTGCGAGAGGCTCCAGTGTCTATGGTCAGTTTACATGGCTTTCCGTTGACTTCGCCCTTGATGATTAGGCTGTTCCCATCATGGGTTTGTGAGATCGAAATTCTTGGGGCTCTTTTAACATCAGCCAGCACCCGCCCCGCAGTCCTGGCTTTTACTCGTTTCCCTGCTGCTGCTGGGCGGTGCTATTATCCGCACTACCCTCTCGAGATCGATCACCTTCCCTTTCTACAGTTCGCTTAGGGCAGCTGGATCGAAGATGGCCCCTTTCCCCACAGCCGTAGCACCTAGGGCTGTAGCCCTTATTGCGGTCCTGAACTGTAGCTGCTGCAACCTCCCTGACGCGGTGGGAATGATGATCCTGCCGCACGGCTTCCACCTCCAGTGCATGGGTCAAGGCGTCCTTAAGCGTCTCGTGGTGCCCGAGCCTCACAGCAGCTCTAACTTCAAGGTCGCGGATGCCGTCGATGAATGTCCGCACCAGGTTCCCTACAATGAGCGCAGGTACAGACTGGTACGCTTTTCGAACCAGCTTCTCCACCTCAAGGGCCCACTGCTGCAGGTTTTCGTTACTGCGTTGCACGCGATCTTTGAGCTGCGCACGAAAGACGTGTTCCAGGTGAGTATCGCCATATCTCGCCTCCAATGTCTCAAGGAGCTGCTCGTAAGTCACTTCCTTACCGAGAGCTTCCAGAACAGTTAAGGCCTGGTCGCGTAGGCCTAGGGTGAGAGCAGTCATGGCCTGACTTTTATTCCAGCCGTTCGCTTTCATGACAGCCTCGAACTGGATTTTGTAGGCCGATCAGGAAGAACTCCCGTCGAACGGTGGCACTTTGAATACACGTAGCGAAGGTGTTGTGGTTACCACGGGAGCTGTAACTCCATCCCCAATTTTGAGGTCGTTCAGCGTTTTCTTCACGTCAACCATCACGTTGTCAACCCGATTGTTCACTTGGTCGATTCGGGTTTCAGCTTCCAACAGGCAGTTGTCATGTTGAGCAACCCTATCCTTCACTTCTTTTATCTCTTTCCCGAAGGTATCGTGAAGGTCCTTCATGAGAAGAAGCTGCTCTTCCAACCGACGGACCTGTTCCTCCTGTTAGGGGGGGGCTGGTTCCTCCTGTCCGCGCTGCAGCTGTTCTTCCAACCGACGGCCCTGTTCCTCCTGTAGGCGGGCCTGTTCCTCCTGTAGGCGGGCCTGTTCCTCCTGTTGGCGGGCCTGTTCCTCTTGTCCGCGCTGCAGCTGTTCTTCCAACCGACGGGCCTGTTCCTCCTGTCGGCGAGCTTCTTCCTGCAGCATCATCGTCAGAGCACCTAAGTCAGGTGCTGTAGATGCAGGAGCTGATGACCGACCGGCCTCTGTGGTCAGCATCTGGCCCTCCAATGTTTGCGGCGTTGTATTACCAAATCGTCTCTGGTCCGTCTCCAGCTGGCGTTGACTTCGAGTACGGATAACCTCCATGTCGTCCTTTGGTAAAATCGGCATGATTTAATCCCACTTCTGACACCAATTGTTACGAGCTTAGGGTTCGAGACAATTAAAAACTGCCGATTGAATTAACAAAATTGACACTTTAATTACGGATGCTAATTGCACCTTAAACACACTAATAATAAAACACAATAATTCCACTAGATTGTAGAAGCGTGCCGTGTAGTGGCGGTCACTACCCCATATCCTCCCGTGGGTGTCGTAAAAGGCGACAAAGGGAAACAGGCAGGAGATGGGCAGCAGCATCTTCTTGATAACAACAAATTAACAATAAAAAAAAACTGCGGTTGCCAACCCGCTCGCCAAGCGCGGCAACTATGGCAAATACCCTCCTATGAATGACAGTAACAAAGAAACGGCCCCCAGTCCCCGGCGAACCCGCTATTCCTGGCTACGGTGGCGACCATGGTAAGAATCTCCGGTGGAGGTTCGGTTGCCACCTTAGACGACTCGACCTGGCAACGTACAACCCACGCACCCTGAGGACTGACGAGAAGATTGTGGAGCTGGAAGAAGAGATAGACAAGTTGCGCTGGCATATTATAGGATTATCCGAAGTCCGAAGAGAGGGGGAGGACACGGTAATCCTCGAATCCGGCAACTTGCTCTATCACCGGGAGGGCGACCATCTGTCCCAAGGAGCTGTCGGATTTATCGTCCACAAGTATCTCGTTAACAACGTTGTAAAGATCGGGAGTGTGTCGACGAGGGTTGCGTACCTTATACTCAGAATCACCAAACGGTATTCGCTGAAGGTCATACAGGTTTACGCACCAACCTCGGCTCACCCCGATGAGGAGGTGGAGGAAATGTATGAGGATATCTCTAGAGCCATGCATTCCTCCAAAACCGAATATACGGTGTTAATGGGAGACTTCAATGCAAAACTAGGCACAAGAGAGAACGGTGAGCTGAAAGTAGGGAAATTAGGAATAGGGCAACGGAACCCAAGGGGCCAGCAGCTGGCCGACTTCATGGAGAAAGAGGGACTCTTTATGATGAACTCTTTCTTCCAGAAGCGGCCCCACAGGAAGTGGACCTGGTCGAGCCCCGACGGTTCGACAAAAAATGAGATTGACTTCATTATGACGACCAGACGACAACTGTTCAGTGATGTCTCCGTGATCGCGAGGGTGAAAACTGGTAGCGATCACCGAATGGTTAGAGGCACACTGAACCTAAACATTAAGTTGGAGAGGTCTCGTCTGATGAAGTCAACGCTCCGTCCCCCTCGTGCTTTGTTCCAAAGTCCCGAAACCTTTCAGCCCGAGTTACAAAACCGTTTTC